GCCCCGCCCCGGGCGGCGGGCGCCCCCTGCGGAGGCCCGGCCGGCTCCCGGCGCGGCAGCAATCTCTGGGGTCCGGCATGTACGCGTCTGGTGCAGCTACTGTGCCTGGGCCCGCTTCTTCCGTACCACTCCGTCCTGTCCACCCCTTCCCAATTCTTTACCCAGGTTTTCACACTCAACAGGCCCCAAGCAGCGAGACCAGTAAGGTGAGCAAGATAAATATGCCCGCTGCCTGAGAGGCTTCTGCTCTAGGGGGTGACACTACTGGCGACGCTGTGCTGGAAATTTGAGAGTGGAACCCTGCGTGGTGGACCACGCCTGGATGGCCGCGAGTTTGAGGCCAGACTAGGCTACATATTGAGGTCATGGCCAACCTGAATGACTTAAGAGATCCTAGCTTAAAAAAAAAAAAGCGGAGGGAGCTGATCTGAGTTGAGAGAAATTCTCTGGAAAGGGCACTAACAAAATCCTGAGCATCGGAGTATGGTGGCGCATGTCTGTAATCCTAGCATTCGGGAGGCAGAGGCAGGAGGATCGTTGTGAGTTCGAGGCCAGCCTGGGCTACAAAGTGAGCTCAAGACCAACCTGAACTGCATAACGCGTCCTGTCAAAAAGACTATATATATATATATACACACACACACACACACACACACACACACACACACATATATATATTTGAGCGGTAAAATGCACAACAGGCAAGACCTGGGGTGTGGTGGCATTTGCCTGTAATCCCAGCTACTTAGGAGGCCAAGGCAGGAAGACAGCCTGGGCAATTTAGGAGACTCTGCCCCGAAAATTTAAAAATAAAGGCTGAAGGTGTAGCTTAGCGATAAAGGATTGCCAAGCATACGTGAGGTCCTGGCCTCAAACGCAGTACGCAAGGAGGGTAACTGCGGAAAGAGTGGAATGGGGCTAAAAATGGAGACATAGAAGTTGGGCAGATGGTTGGAGCACAGCCTTATTTGTAGGCATCTGCAGTGAGGATCTGGGACTCCATGGACACTGCTGGAAGCCTGTGACCATCAGTTTTCAGTTTAGGTTGGCTGTGGCCACTGTGCAGACTGCCTCAGAGAGGAAGCAGTGGTAGGAGGCACAGGCTTGTCTCCCAAGCTCCTCAGGGCTTGCCTACAGATGGGGCAAGTGGCAGGCCTTGGCCGGACGGCCTGTGGGCAGTGGTGGAGAATGCAGCATTGGGGTGCTTTAGTGCCTTGGCAAAGATGGCTGTGCTGGAAGAAGATATTTTGAATTTGAGGAGCCTGTGACCTGCAGGCAGTTGGGACAGCAAGTGGGAAAGAACACTGGGGGATGGAGGGGGCAGGAGAATTCAACAGAGTCCTTAGGACAGCACTCCCAAGTCAGGAGACAGCGGTGTGTGCTAAGAACAGGCCCCCGGGGGGGAGGAGCAAGGACAGTTTTTAGGAAGAGAAATGCTGTGGGAAGGCTGAGGAAGCACCGAAAACGTAGACTAGACTTGTGAAATTTGGCCTGTTGTGCACAGGCTTCCAGGCAAGGTGGAAGGAAGCTGGTGGCTCCCAGGAAAGGGCTTGCTCAGAGTGGCTGGACTATAGCAGGCTGGCTTGTCTGGCCAGCTCATTTTTCATGATGTGTGTGGTACAGTACTTGGGATCAAATTCAGTTCGTCAGGTTGGCCCTGTAGTGCAACCTTGCCTCAGCCTCACAAGTAGCTGGGCCTTGCAAAGGCATGTATTTATAGAATTAAAAAATAACAAGGGCTAATAACAAAAAACCCACTAGCTCTTTTACCTCTCCTAAATCTACCTCCTTCAAGAGGTGGATGTCTCACATCTGTAATCCCAGCATTTGGGAGGCTGACACAGGAAATTTGTAAATTCAAAGTTAGGATTACTAACTATAAATTAATGTTGGGCTGGGGAGATAGCTCAGTGGCATAAATGCCTACCTGGTGAGTGAAGGGTCCTGAGCTGATCACCGGTACCAAATAGATAAATAAAAAATAAATAAATTTGGGCCAGCCAGATAGTTCAGCAGACTAAAGCGCCTGCGTGCCCCGCTGGCCCCACCTCCAGGGTGTGCTGAGATTGCAACAGAGACTGAGCAAGGTGGTGCGCACCTGTAATCCCAGCGCTTGGGAGGCTGAAAACAGGAGGATCACTAAAGTCGGATACAGATCCTATACTACAAAAAAAAAAAAAAAAAAAAAAAATTACAGTTGGTGTCTGTTGCTTTTGTATTTAATTAACATGGTATTTCCTGATTTATTTATTTATTTATTTATTTTGTACCAGGGATTGATTTTAGAACCCTGTGCTTGCCAGGCAAGTGCTTATTCTACCAAGTTATCTCCCTGGCCCCTTTCCTGATTTCTTGATTTCCCTGCTGCTAACATATTACACATTGCTTTCTGTTTGAATCATCTTTCTTCTATGTCCCTGAGAATTCTGAAGTTGGGAGCTTTTGGTTTTCCTACTAAGAGCTCACAGATGTCAGCCTACTGTACTGCCACTCTACTGTGATCACATTCTGAGGTTATGCTGCATTTCAATAGTTCCTTGCTTTGTTTCTGTGATTTCTATGAACCTCTTGACTTATTTCTGGCCGATTCATAACTAAACAACTGTGTGGCCCTCTGTCCTGTTTCCACCTCTCCCAAGCACGGCTGTGGGCCGGGGACCTGTAGAGCTCTTCTGCCTGCGCTTGCTCCCACAGGCTGACCTCAGGCAGTGGCCTCCCACTGAATCCAGTCACCACCGGGCTGGCGTGGCCAGTCACCTGAGGGCTGAGTTCTCCTGCAGCTTCTCCCAGTGCAGTTTGCAGAGTCCCCAGCAGCAGCAGCAGCAGCATTTTCTTTTCCTACATTGTTTCTTTCCAAGTCTCCAGCAACAGGATCTCCAAAAAGATCCTATTGAGTTTTTTTATCTGGAAACTTCCTACAAACGTAAGTCCTCTTGTCTCTGCCTGGGCCGCCTGCTTTGTAGCAACTGCCATCTTGAGAATTCCCTCCACGTCTCTCCTGAAGCATGTTTTCAATTCCTAAAGTGACTGTGTCTTATTTTCAGCAGTCTGCCTACCCTTAATACACTTGTTTGTAACAGGAAGATTTCACATCATCTTGAGCCTAGTCAGCAACTACATCCACTTACTAAATCCTTGTTTCCCAGTTCTAGAATTTTCCCTTCACTGAAAATCCAGATGTTAAAATTCTCTATTTTCCCTTAATTTGTGAAAATTTCAGTTATTTCATTCTCAACTCCAATTTGTATTACCATGTTCTTTTTAACAATTCCTGCAATTTAAGAGCTGTTTCTAGCATGACTGGCAACTTTAGAGTAGATGCTGACCATTGTGAACCAAAATCTGGTGGTTCTAATGTCTCCCTCCAGTGAAGCAGGCAGAGTGCCCTATTGGCAGGCTGACAGCCACAACCCGATGAGGTCTTGCTTTGCGCTCACCCTGACCGACGTGCAATCTGCACATCTTGATCAGCGCTGCGTGCCATGGGGACTTGACCTGAGAAGTGACCCCACAGGACTGCAATCTGCTCAGCTGTCGTCTCCAAGTGAAGCTGTATCCTGCAATGGGGGTGGGGACCGTGCCTTGTAGTAACCACTGGAGGGAGGAGTGCCCTCCTCCCCGCCTAGTTCCACCTCTGGAACTCTACTGAGAGCAGCTTCTGCAGGGCTAAACTGCTGAGCAGTCCTAAAACCAAGTTCATGTTGCTTGAACAAGAATCACACCCACCAGTGTCTGGTCCCCATGCTGTTCCAAAGGTTTTGATGTGTTCGGGCCTTGTATGGCTGATCTATGCAGACTTGTCCAAACCGGGCTAACGGGCTGGTACTCCCTTGAGTATTTTTAGTTTATTATTATTATTGTTGTTGTTTTGTTCCATCTCTTTGATTGTACCAGCAAGAAGTATTTTTTCCTAAAATAATTTCTTCCAGGGTTATTAATTTTGGGGCTCTCGTTAGTTTTTTCTCAAATGTCTGTTTCTTGCTGTGCTGTTCAATACCAAGGCCAGTAAAAAACCAGACTAGTCTCACAGGCAGCAGTCAGGTTCAGCTGCTGGGCTGGCTCTGCTCTACCAGGCAAGTCACCCTTGCAGACCAAGACTGCTCCAAAAGATCTTCCTGGACCTGCCTCAGCTCCAAGCACGCCAAGTGCCACTAAAGACTGTCATTCTTCCTCTTCCCCCTCCTTGCTGAACTGCAGCCTTGACCTTCTCTCCAGGCGAAGGGCTTCTTCTTGGTGGTGACCTCATCCAAGTGTTCACCCAGCCTCAGGCTGTCTGGGTACTGACCTGAATCTGTTGCTGACGGTTCCTCTTCTGCTCAAGTTATCTTTGTTGGGAAGCTTCTGTACAACCCAGCCTGAACCAAGGCCTTCCCAGGATTCCTGCTCTCCCCCTAGCCACATTCTTTGTGTCTCCTGCCTCAGACACAACAGCTTCCCTCCCATACATTTTGTTTCTGCTGAGTAACCCAGTGCCCTCGTGCCATTCCCAAATCTGGGTGAGAACAAGGTGGGGTGTGGGCTGAACACAGGAGAGGGTTCCTTACCCCCCCGGCCAGCAGTCCTGGTGTCCTGGAGAGCCTCAACCCAGGAAGCTTGAGCTTGAGGGGCACCCAGAAACCATATGCCAACATGAACCAGCTGAGTCAACCAACAACCTGAGATGTTAGGAGCAGTAAGGAAGAAAACGTACCCACCAACAACAGGAAATTAATTTTATTCTTAAATCCAAGGGGCCAGAACAAAGAAACTCCTGCCCTTGGAGGGCAAACTGAGGTGGCCAGGAAGGATGGGGAAAGGATGACAGTGAGGGATGGGTGGAAACACGTCCAAATAGAACAGCTGGCAAGACCTCTTCATTCAGGTGCCGCCTCCATGAGATACCCATTCTCCGGAGCCATGTATCCATCACCACCCTCTGACTCCATGTACATGTCACGGCTGTCATTGCCCAGACCTTCTAACCCGTTGTCCTGGCCACCCCCACCCCCACCTCGGGCCTCATCCCTGCCCCGCTCACCACCCCGCTCTCCCCGCTTGTGCTCTCGATCACGGTCACGGTCCCGGTCCCGGCGTCGTTCCCGCTCACTCCGGTGGCTCCGACGTCGTTCCCGGTCACGATCCCGACCCTTCTCCTCTGGGCCATCAGGCCCGTCAGGCCCAAGCTCGCCAGGAGGCCCATCATCAGGAGGCGCATCACCAGGCTCAGATGGCTCAGCCATGTCACCACTGCCACCACCACCGCCGCCACTGCCGCCGCCACTGCCGCCGCCGCCGCCGCCACCACTACCACCACCACCACCACCACCACGCAGCTCCTCCTTGCGTTCCCGCTCCCGCCGTGCCCGTTCCCGGCTCCGACTGCTTCGCCGCTTCCGGTCTCGGTCCTTGTCCTTACTCCGCTCCCTGGATCGACGACGCTCATCCTTGTCACGACTCCTTGAGCGCCTCCGACGGTCACGAGAGCGGGAGCGTCGCCTTTCCCGCTCTTTGTCTCTCTCCCTGCTCCGCTCTCTACGCTCCCGCTCGCGGTCCCGGTCCCGGTCCCTGTGTGGAAGCGGGGAGGGGCCAGGCCTGGATGAGGTGGGCAGTGGTGTGCAGCCGGGCGCCCCACGTCACCTGCCCGTTCCCAGGAAACTAAATGCCCAATCTTACCTCTCATCATAGCGGGATGTATCATCCCGGCCTGAATGCCGGATGTTCACATCAGCCCCACCTCTTCTGGTACCACCAAGGCCGCCTCCTATGGGCAGGGCAAGTGAACACAGGGTCAGTATGGCTGGGGCACCGAACAACTAAAAGGACCTCAGAGAGTAGAGGGCAGGAAAACTACCACCTCTGCAGATGGCCAGGGGGCCGCCTCCAGTGTCCACCACCTCTGCACTCTTGTCCAAGACAGGCATGTTCTATGGCCTGAAAAGGCCTTCACCGGCTGCTACATGGGAGCATGTGGCCTTGCCTGCTGGCTACTACACAGCCTTTCAGACCCTCTCCTGCTCATCCTGACATTGGCGCACCAAGGTGAAAATGGGGCTATTTCAATTCTGCAACACTGTTCCTGACTCAAATTCCACTGCCTCACCAAAGGGGCAGAAAAGTCTATTTTTTTTTTTCCCCTTTTTTTGGTGGAACCGGAGAAAAGTCTAAAGAGCCATCACATTCTGCTTTCCACCAAGGCCACAGACCCTTACTCCCAGATGTCTCAACTCCCACAGCCCTTGAAGTCAGCCATCAGCTCAGTGCCACTTCCTCAGAAGCCCTCCTGGCCAACCATTAGCAGCCCCTCTTCTCAGCACCATCAACATCTCTGATGAGTTTCCAAGCTGCTCTGTGAGGTGCTGACAACTGCATGTTGGCAGACTGCAAAACCAGTGCCTGGAGTTGCTTGCTGGCCCCAGCACAAGTGAGGCACCTGACCTACAGGTTTGTTAAGTAGATAACCCCCCAAGGGACAGATGCCACCTTCCTTCCCAGGAAACCATTCTGTCATTTGCCCTGGCAACCTGGCAAGCAAGGGGCAAGGCTGGGACTAACTTGTCTGGCTTCACAGCAAGCTCTCTTTTTGTCAAGTTCCACATGAGGACTAAGCCAGCCAGGCATGGCACATGCCTATAAGCCAGCACTCAACACAGAAGCCAGAGGCCTTTACACTATCTCTAGCCGTTCCATTTGTTTTTGAGGCAGGGTCTCACTAAGTCACCTAATTGCCTGGGCTGGACTTGATCTTGACGATCCTCCTGCTTCAGTCTCCCATAGTGCTGGGATCATATCCATGAAACTGAACAGTGCATCTAGCTCTTCTTTCTTCTGAGACAAGGTCTCACCACATAGTCCAGGCTGGCCCTGAACATAGGATCCCCCTGCCCTGGCCTCCTGAGAACTAGGAAGGCACACCTGCACCACCACATTCGGCTTCAACATCACACTCAGCTCATCTTTCTCGGACCTGCCACCAAACTGACCTTGACTGAGATGATGAATGACAGCGGCTGCCAATGTCTTACTCTAGACCAGAAGCCTGGCACACAGCTGGTGACCCAGGGGATGCTTGCTGAGCCAACGAACAGATGAACAAACAAGTGAAGTGAGAGCAAGAGCAAAGGACAAGCAGACAAGCAGGTGCCACCTAGAAGTCCCGCCAAGTCTACTGGCCAATCTGGGCACCAGATGCAGTGAGCCCACGATTTCCCACCAGTGTCCCAGAAGAGGAAGAGGGTGGACTTGGGGCAATGTCCAGCCGGCAGGCATGCAAGGCAGGCCAGTATTCACCCAGGCCAGTCACTCAGAGAAGCCAGGCAATGAGAGAATGAGAGAAGATGAGCTCAAAACACAGGGAGGTATGAAAAGCAGACAGAAGGCAGCAAGAGTGTGAACGAGAGGGAAAGTGAGGCCACAGGGGGCAGGACCCAGGCCCGGAGCACACACAGCTGCTCACCCAGCCGCCGGGGCCTCCAGCCCTTCACAGTCCGGCCCCTCTCCACATCCACGAGGACTCTCCTGCCATCAATCTTCTTGCCATCTGCGTGTTTGTAAGCGGCTGCAACAGACGTGGGGAGGGGGAGGGGAAAGAGTCCCCACAAGGTCCTCTAGTCAAGACAGAGCCCCATGTTGCAGCGTCCCCACCCACAGACCACTATCATGGCCCAAGCATTCACACTCACACACGTACCCCACCAGACAGCCAGGCACCTGACAGCCAGACCGACCCTCTCCCGACCCAGGGAAGGGCCTGCTCCATCTCAGGGCCTGCTTCCTTCTCAGCACCCTCATCACAGCTGAGGGTGATTCCCACCAAGCTCCACTGTACCCCAGGTATGCCCCTCTCTCCCACCAGATGGAGCAGCCCCCTCCTGCTAGGAGGCCAAAGTTGCTGCAAAGAAACTGGAGGTTAACTTAACACTGGACTCTGCTGTGGGGGAGGGAGCTCCCCCACAACCCCAGGCATGCACCCTAAAACATTGTGCTGGGGCAGGAGGCCCAATTGGGCCATTCCATACCCCAGTTAACACCAGTTTTTCTTTTCTTGTATGTTTTTTAGGGGAAGGAAACTGAGTGGGTAAACAGACATCAGAACAGAAAATAAACCAGAGGGAATTGGGAGAAATCTCCAAGAAATGGCAGGGAGCAGAAAGGTGGGTTATGTGCTCCCAAGGGGCCTGGAAGGGCCCCTGAGCAGGGCAAGTGAAGGAAGGCTGGGGAGACGTGCGGTGCTACAGAAAATCCCTGCCTTACCTGAGACCACTGACCCTGCCGCCACTCACCCTGCACATCTCTCCCCTCCACAGCCCAGTTCAATGTGCCACGCAGCCCTGGCCTATACCCACCAGGGAATGGGGAGAAGCAGAGGAAGGGCCAGGGAGAGGCCCATCACTGCTCTGGGGCAGGACACTGCACAGGGCAGGCCCATCGGCCAGCCTACAATCCTGGGGGGCTATCGGGGGCTATCGGGGCCCCTGACCCCCACCCAGCCCTGGCCTAGCGGACTGTCCTCAACCAACCACAATACCCTGCCCCACCCCAGCCCACTCCCCCCCAAATACAACCAGAGGAAGAGAAAAAGGTGCCATTTACCGATGCCAGCCTTGCGGGTGTCCAAACCGAGCGGGATGGGGGGGGCTCGGCAACTCCTGGGGGCCTGGCGAGGAGGCGGGCTTCCCGGGGTGGGGGAGGGGGACACGGGACGCTTACCTGGAGCCCCCAAGCTTACCTGAGTAGGCGCACAGACCCCACCCCTACCACCATAGGGTCAGCTAAAGCTACAGGGAAGGGAATCTTGGGGTCCTGGGCACCCCAATAGAAAGGAGCCACATCTCCTGTACTACCTGAAGACAGGCTGAGGAAAGTAGTGGTGGACCCCTCAGAAACTCTCAGAGGCAAGAGTAACATTGCATCAGGGCCCAGAAAGCCCGGGGCCTATCTTGGTGGAATTTGCAAAGGTGGCTGGGAGGCCTCAGAACACCTGTACCTTCACCAAGTCCTGATACACTCACACTCACTAGGCACAGGCCTGCCCCTCTCTGTCAGGGAATGGCTTTCCCACCTCCCACCATACTGCAGCCCCAAGGCTGGCACACAGGATGTGCCCTGAGGTCGGGAGGCACAGTGCTGTCCATGCTAAGGAGGGGCCACTTGGCCCCTGAACCCAGAGAAGGGTAATGGGGAAAATAATGGAAGGACCAAGGTCCAGCCAAACAAAGAACTCTGTTCAGTTTAGCGTCCCAAACCCAGGAAAGGCCCAACCCAGGAAGAACAGCAAAGAAAATTGTGTCAGTGTGTCCATCTAGGCCCCTCTCTCTCTCTTTCCCTCTCTTCCATCTCCAGACAGTGGCAGGTTCTTAATAAAAACCTAGTACACCTTCATCATTGGCAGCCTACTTTTTTGTCCCTCCCATGGCCCAAGCCCCAGTTCCATGCACTCTGGGGAGCTCCTGGAGACAGCCCCCAAGAGCCTTAAGAAAGACAGAAGAGGGTATAGCACCTAAAAACAACCCAAATTCTCCAGGGCCACCATGGTAATGGCCCTATAGAAGCAATGGGAGGCAGGGCCTGAGGAGCTGAAGGGTTCCATATGGAACCCTGGCCCTCGCACCCCACCCTCTGTACTCCTACACCTCGCCACTCATGTCAGGAAGCCGGGAAAGTAGGGCTGAGTGGAGTCCGTCTGGAGAGGCAGTTGCCATTCCTGGCGAGGTCCACCCTACCCCTGTGGGATCAGCCAGACTACTGGAGAGTGTGTGGATTGGGCAGGAGGGCAACGGGCACCCAATTAAGGAGAAAGGGCTGTGGATGCGGGGAGGCTGAGGGGCGACCAGGGTGGGAAAAGGGACGCCTCGCTGCTCCTGAGCTGCCTGGCTAAGCTGGGCTGGTGTGCGGTGCTGAGTGATCTTACCCATGATACAAACCCTTATACCAACCATACACTGAGGTGTTGTAAGGGGAGCGTAAGCATCAGCTGCAAGCCAGCTGCGTGGTGGCTGCAGTGACAATAAGAACAGTCAATTAATACGGCGGCCCCTGGACACGCCGCAGCCCTGCCCACCCCCACCCGCCCATCCCTGCCCCTGTGGGCGCCGCGCAGCCTCAAGGGGGCTCTGGAGCCATGGGGCAGGCACCAAACATGCCCGCTGGGCCTGCTGCCCCACAGCCCTGGGGAACGGGGTGGGGGCTGGGGTGGGGAGGCGGAGGGGCAGGGTGGCGCAGCCCCAGCTCTACTGGGGCAGAAGTGAAGGCAGGTCAAAGGCCAGTCTTCGTGGAGTCTGGCTACCCCCAGCCCGTGGGGGAATAATGGGGAGGACTCCCCGAAAATCTGACCCCTCCTTCCACCTCCAGTTGGCCCCAGCCCCTACCCAGTTCCCTCCTGGCCCCTGAGGTTCAACGTGTGGCACTTACCTCCCCGGGCTCACACACACACATACACACGTTGTGGGGGATTTGGTTTTTGTTTTTTAAAAAACACGTATAAAAAAAAAAAAAAAAAGATATATCAGAAACAGAGGGAGGAGGAGAAGAGACTGCTAATGTCAGGTGTGGCAGGGAGGGGGGGACAGACGATGGGGGAGGGTGGGGCAGCAGAGAAGTGAGAGGGCAGTGGGAGGGCAGGGGCCAGAGGTACTCACAGTGCATATCCCGCTCATGCTCGTACTCAATGAAGGCGTAGCCACGGGGCTTTCCTGAGCGCTTGCTGTACACCATGTGTATCTGTAGGGAGGGGCCAGGTGAGCGCCTCGCCCATGTGTTGGGCCTCCGGACCTGCTCTCAGGGACTCTTTTTTTTTTTAATTTCTATTTATCTATTTGTGTGTGTGTGTGTGTGTGTGTGTGTGTGTGGCCAGCTCAGCCCACCAGGGGGCGGGGCTGGCTGGCATGTGGTGCTGGGGGATTGAACTGCGATCCCTGTGCTTTGCTAAGTTTGTTCTAAGTAGGTGCTTTAGACCACTGAGCCATCTCACCAGCCCCAGGGACTCTTGTTCTAGCTCTAATGATGAAACCAAAGGACTCAACTAGAGGGCCACAGAGGGGATGCCTGGAGAAAAGACACTTAAGCTAGGAATTAAAAAAAAAAACAACAGTGCAGAATGAGGCATCAGCTTGTCATGTGCAAGAATAGTCACTCCAAAGAGCAGGCCATGGGAGGAACTTCAGTGAGGACAGGATGCATTCTGAGGTGAGGCTTTTGAGATGAGGCTACAAAGGTAAGCAGACACCAGGGCCACCAAGTGTCCCCACTGAAAGGCTGAACATGGACTCTAGGAACTGAGAAGGATGCTCAGCATAAAAAAAAAATTGGAGAAGCTACTTGGAGCTGGGGTTAAAATGTAGGAGCTCTGAATACACTTGGCAGGGAGCTCCAGAGTAAATGAAAGGGTGCTGCAAATACACACACGTGTATAAGGCAGGAAGCCAGGGAGCACAGGGCACCACAAGAGGGGTGTTACTGCAAGGATACCAGCACAAGAAGGGCATCAGATGGTGCCACACAAGCCACACCAGCAGTACAAGGCTGTGAGGCCAAGGACCTGTTGGGGCCCAGAAGGAGAATCTGGACCTTTGTCCCTATGTGCTAAGGGGCCATGGAAGGCCATGAGCAGAGGTGATGGGGTTCACTCTGGGTGTTAGAACCCTCTGGGACCATGTGGAGGATGGACTACATGGAGAACAGTGGTCTAAGAGCTGGCCAAATAGCTCAGTGAGCTAAAGCACCTGCTTAGACAGGTGCAGGGACCAGGGTTCAATCCCCAGAGTGCCAGCCAGCCCTGTACCCAGGGCGCGCTGAAATGGCAACTGACACTGGGCATGGGCGCATGCCTGTAATCCCAGCACTTGGGAGGCTGAAAACAGGATCACTACGAGTCCAATCTGTTTACTGACATCCTGTGGTCCCTGTACTAAAATACATTAAAAAAAGAAGAACAACAACAACAATGCTCTAGATAAAACTTAGGACAGAGAGTAAGGATGATTCAGAAAAACATCTGGAAAATGACAGAACCCGAGTTGGTCCCCAAAGGTCAGCCACTTATCCATCCACATCAATACCACTTGATGTCTGTACTGAGCTTACCCTGTCCCCACAATTGAGTGATAAAACCCTGCAGCCTCCAAAATTCAACTGAGATTCCAAACTGAGCAGAATCAGGATCAAAGAAAACAAGTCAGAGGCCTAAAACCTAAAACACCATCCTGTGAGAGCCAGAGCCAGGAAAGTGAAAGCACAGCCCGCTCACACCTAGCGCCAGGCTCAACAGTTCATGCAGCCCGTTGAGGGTGTCCGCCTTTTCAGAGAAGGGAAGGAGGTTCAGAGCTCCTAAGTGACTTCAACTAAAGGAAGAAGTAAGTGACAGACATACAAAGCTTTGCTATAAAACAGGAACCAGCAAGCCCAGTATGGTGGTACACACCTATAACCTCAGCTTCTGAGGCTGAGGTAGAAAGATCACTGTGAGTTCTAGGCCAGCCTGGGCCACACAGTGAGTTTGAAGCCAGCCTAAACTATATGACAAGACCCTGTCCCAAAACACCAATAACTGCACTACAGAGTAAGCTCAAGGCCAGTCTGAGCTGCATAGCAAGACCTTGTCTCAAAAAGACAAACAAATAGGGGCTGGCGAGATGGCTCAGTGGTCTAAAGCACCTACTTGGAACAAGCTTGGCAAAGCATCAGGGACCGCGGTTCGATCCCCCAGCACCACATGCCAGCCAGCCCCGCCGCCTGGTGGGCTGAGCTGGCCACA